CATGGTTTATGGTTAAAAAAATCTAAAAAAACACACACAACTTTCTTAAATAAAATCAAATGGATTTTTAGAACCAAAATAAGGTTCTTATTTTCTCCAAGATTTTTAGAAATGTATTAGTAGCAAAAATTAATTAACATAACAATGAAGATAGAAACCGTTATTGTGTAAACCATCACCAAATCATCATTTTCTTGGGTAATTTTTAATAATTTCAAATCGAAATTTTTAATGTTTATTTTAGGCCAAATCTTTCTCTACCAATTTTTACTTTCATTGAATAAAAGTAAATCATCATCAAACAGACAAACCATATTTATATTTATATATATATTTATATATATTTATTGAGAACCAGACAAACCATATTTATACATAGTGAGAACCAGAAAATGTGGAACAGGTAGACGACATTAAAGCAAGACTTTAATGTATTTTTTGTTAAATTATGCAAATAGTTTTATTAATAACTTATAAACCACTCATTAAAAGAAACAGGTCTGTGTATACTACACAATTGCTGTGTCAAATATTTATTGGAATAAATAATCTTAACTTGAGTGTTATTCATATTCCACTGTTTTTGTTTCTCACTGCATATTTATAATAAAGAAGATTCGAAATTAAAGGGACAGACCGGCTATGTAAGTTAGTTATACAGAGTATGCAGTGTTGTGGACAAATTCTTTAGGATTCATTTGAGACATATAAAACTATTTAAAGATCTTTAAATCCTAAGTTTGAGTGCATAGCCGACGTTCAAAATTTTACTTTTGGGTGGATACGCTTTCAGAATTTTTTAAAAAAATTATTAAATAACGATGACAAAAAATGTAAGCAAAATTCTACAGTAAACCAATTAGTTGTTTATTAACAGGTTGAGAAAATAAAAATTAATCTTATCATCATCATTGTTTAATTATTAGTTTCTATTTTCTCATTATTCTAGTCTCTCATTATTCACAAAGATTTTCTGCAGATTTCCTTGGAGTATTATTGAAACGACGACATTTGAAGAATTTGTAGAAATCTGGGACGCTATTTATAATAAAGAAGATTAGAAATTAAATCTGATTTACGAGCTGAGGCAGGGAAGTTTTTCCATGTTTACTTTAATGCAACATCTGCTTGTTTATTTACTTTATGCAAACATTTGAATAGGTGTTGGGTTAGAGGGGATTTGTGTAGGGCATATAAATAAAACCTAAATATCATTATTTTCCCCCATTTACAAATATATACATAAGTACACATTGCAAACATTTGATATTCATGTACATTGTACAGTGTACATACAGGGTGACCCACGTACTTAAAGGATGGGACTTCAGAGACAACTGTACAAAATACATGCCAGGCTTTTAAAGTTGTGTTTCCTTGCAGTTGTACTTTTTCGTATAAATCGTGTAACAGACCATTTAAAGATTTTTTTAAAGTTTTTAGTGCAAACTATCAAATTCAAACTAATAGTTTTTGGTCGTCAATAATGTCTCAGCTTACCTTCGTGAATCGTAAACCTGTATATGTATGCAACATTATAAAATGTTTTTAGAAAATCTCTTTTGCTTGCAGTGATAACAGAAAAACATCGGAATAGGAAGACACCATTATAGCAATGATTAAGTGTATTTGCATGTCTCATTCTCATTAAGACTTTTAAAAGTGTAACTTTATTCTAAAAGTCGTCTTCATATTTTCTGGTCATCACTTTAGTACATGGGATATTAAGTACAGGGCGTTCCTTAACAAATTACCGTTGTCAAACGCCATAACTTTTCATTGAGCGGGAAATTGTTAAATATTGGAATTTTGGAACTTTTAGTCTTATTTGATTTTAAACTGAGATAGTTCTGAAATATAATTTTAAATCTCATCAGAAATATATTAATGAAATGTAGAATGAAAAGGTTATGTTCACATTGACCTAAATCAATCTATCAATCAATCCTTGCCCCCTCCCGTTCCTTGTAAGCATCCCTTTTTTCAGTGTATTTATATTTTATTAGTTTTGAATTAGATAATGATTTAACTGAAGGTTTGGTGATTTTTGAATGACAGAGGTTGCGTGATTTTGGAATGTAATTAAATACAAAAAATCCACTCAAATAAACATATTCAAACGGTCTAAAATCCAGATTCTTTTTGGTCTATTCGTAAATTGGTATACAGGGTGTCCCACGAAACATGACAGTAGTAAGACGACTTGAATGTGGTATTTGGTCTTTGACTTTATTTGAGACATTCAGTCATTAAACCGTTCTTTAACATGTATGATTCTTGAAACAGTAACCACAAATTCTCCTAGTCCTGGTATTTCCAAAATGTGGTCTACCTTTTGTGCTGTAAACATTGCCGGAGATATTTAAAATTTCTTTCTGATTTCAGTTTTATTAAAAAAATAAATTATCGAAATTTCATGCTCATTGGACTAACTCAAGTCGACTTTTTATTCCAAAGTTTGCTGGTCATCACTTTTTCAATATTTTTTTAGAGAAATGAAATATTAAACCAATATTTTCTATAACACCAATCTATTCAAATCTCAAAGCAAATTCTTGATGATGCAATGTTTCTGCGCAATATATTTAAAAGAAAATGACATAGAGATTAAATTACGATTTAAAACTCTTCATATAAGAACGAGTAACGACACCACAGATCTTGCCATGCTATATTTGTTGCATAACTCGAGCTGGGTCGATTCTACACTGGGACCTGGGTGGTCCAGACTTGACAGTACGACATGTTATACCGGCAACTTTTAGAGTGAGGTGACGGCTGTTCCAAACCGTTTTAAGAAGAGGAGGTTTGAAAAGAAAAGAATGGAATAAAGATCTGTTAAATCATTGTCAGGGTTTAGATCAGAATAAGTTGCAACTTCATGTCATTCATCAAGCAGAAAGAGTTCTTTGTGAATGCCATCTCAGGCATAATTAGTTGCATAATTATTGTTGACAGGGTCCCGTTGCGGAAAATATACCAAAAGGGTGCAATGTTTTTCAACCCCATTGTCCCAAAAAACACAATTTCCTTGGATTTCACAAATGTTGTCTAAGTTTTTATTTGTGTTTTCAAAGTATTGAAGCGAAAACTAATTTGTTTCGATTTTAGTTTTTCAGATAAAATCAAAATACAAAGAAGATCTTTTAGCTTACTAGCTTATTTACGTTATTTTAGATCTTAAAGTGTAAGAAACAAATCACAAAAAAGTATGTTTATTTATTAATGGATTTTTAAATAAAAACAATAAACTGATGCTTCATAAAAATGAATAATTTACAAATTTTGATAAATACATATTTAACATCTTTGTAAAATATCTATATAATAAAACAAGACATTCCTGTATATATATGTTATCTGTAGCCGGCCAAACGGCTGGAGCAAATGGGCTGACTTTTTTTGTGGACACTCATGGGTAGCCGGGGGTGTCTTAGGCTAAAAAAAGATTGTTTTGGTCAAAATATTTTTTTTTCTAAATTTTTTAATTTTTTAATTTTTCAACGGGCAACGCCGGGCCCTTCAGCTAGTAAAGTATACTCTTATAGTCAAAGCGTAAAATTAAGCTTATATCATATTAGCAAGCTATTATCATATTAGCATAGCTCTTATCAAATTTGTTCAATACATTATAATTGTTTCTTGTTAAAATGGTTAAAGGGACTGTGTAGTTTGAAAGTAAGTTTAAAGGGACTGTGTAGTTTGAAAGTAAGTTTAATGGGACTGTGTAGTTTGAACGTAAGTTTCAAGGGACTGTGTAGTTTGAAAGTAAGTATAAAGGGACTGTGTAGTTTGAAAGTAAGTTTAAAGGGACTGTGTAGTTTGAAAGTAAGTTTAATGGGACTGTGTAGTTTGAACGTAAGTTTCAAGGGACTGTGTAGTTTGAAAGTAAGTATAAAGGGACTGTGTAGTTTTAAAGTAAGTATAAAGGGACTGTGTAGTTTGAACGTAAGTTTAATGGGACTGTGTAGTTTGAAAGTAAGTATAAAGGGACTGTGTAGTTTGAAAGTAAGTTTAAAGGGACTGTATAGTTAGAACACAAGTTGAAAAAAATTAAGCGATTTACATCTTCCAGACAGAAAGATAAGGATATCTCCCTCGATATTACTGAGAAAGGGGTCAACAGTTGTGAGTCGGCCATCTTGAAATTAAGAAGAAAGTTATTTTCTTCTCCTGCATATACAGATTCCTACTCCTATGAATAATCCTATGACAATTCCAGTTAAAATCAGAATGACAGCTACTGATAAACCGGAAACTACTTGACAGGTCAGGTCATCATCATCCCATGCAAATCCTTCATAGATATATGAAATTACATTTGAAGTACCTTGCTGACTTTTAAGCAGAGTTAGAGCAAATTGTACAGTATGCATCTAAACAGCAGAATGGGACAGTACACCGAGCATGGGAGTAGGCTGGCGGGTATATGCATGCAACATTTCCCCTTCCATGCCACACATTAGCTTTAAGTTCAAAGGGCGCCCATAACCGAAAATTTGCACTATAAGACAAGAAAATTGTAGTCAGGTAATAAAAGTTAATATTGTGATTTTTCTTATTTTTTCTTATTCTTTAGACTTCCCTGAACAATTTGGCTCAGTACCCAAATAAAAATGCGTAAAATCATGTAAAAATTGTAAGATGTAAAGCAGTTTATCAACTGAACACACAATTGATTGATCTTTAATAAACTTCTAATATTTCTTAAAGGAATTATCTTTTGCGTAATGCAGCTGGATTTTTGAAAATCGCAATTTCAATGCGCAAAATTTTTATTTAAAAAAGTAATAATTGCCAGAAGACTTAAATGTTGGGGCATGGAAGACCAACTGTTGTGGCTTATGGCTGCCAGAAGACAAAACATTTAATATGAGGCATGGAAGGGGAAAATGTTGTGGCTTATGGCCGCCTGCCTTCCCCCACTCGCATGACATCCATACTTAGCGAAGTTTGTATGTCAATTTTGTGTCAAATCTACGTGTAATTTCATAAATTGCCTTCGGTACACTCACACTTTCCAACTATAGAAGCAAGATCTCCTCCAAACCAAGCTCGACTAGGACTAACACTCATTTCATAATCTTCACACTAAAATATAGTATGATTATTGATCAAGTATGATTATTGATCAAGTATGATTATTGATCAAGTATGATTATTGATCAAGTATGATTATTGATCAAGTATGATTATTGATCAAGTATGATTATTGATCAAGTATGATTATTGATCAAGTATGATTATTGATCAAGTATGATTATTGATCAAGTATGATTATTGATCAAGTATGATTATTGATCAAGTATGATTATTGATCAAGTATGATTATTGATCAAGTATGATTATTGATCAAGTATGATTATTGATCAAGTATGATTATTGATCAAGTATGACTGCAACAAAGTTTGTCTTCAGAAATCTTCAACTAATTAAAGATTCACGAGGATTTGAATACTTGGAATCTGTGGCATAGAATTTGAACCGGTGGTGGGGAGCTAAGCGACCTCTCAAATTCATTAAATACGAACCTTGGTTTGAAAAATTACGAATAAAATGAATTCTGCAAAACATAAATTATTTATAAAAAAAATATTACTCTTAAATTAGGATCCATCCAAGTGCAATCATTGTGTGATCTGCACAGGAACCCATCGGCTTGCCTCCAACTAAAAAATATATTTAAGTCGCTTCATAAACGATTTGTAGTTGCATTTTAAACGATTTTAAATCGTTATTTGTGAAGTAAATAAAACTTCATAATAGACGACTAAAAGGCGCCTAATTTGCATCTTTAAAACGTCTATAAACTCCGATTCGAAATTAAGGACAAAAAAGTCGTTAATTAAACGATTTTTAGTTGCATTTTAAACAATTTTAAATCGTTATTTTTGAATTAGAAATGACTTCATTTTAGAAGACTGAAAGTCGCCTAATAAGGGATTTAAAATCGTATATTTTTAGGCAGGTAGTCAAAAACTCCTGTTCAAACCAGTTTATGAATCAGCTGATGGTTAGCATTCTTGCTCATTTCCGTCTCTCATTTTACATTTAGTTAGTTAACCTGTTCATTTCTAATTGCTTCCAATGCTTTCTTCCCAGACTTGAGTTTTGTTTGATTATTTTAGCTGCTCACAAATTAATGTAAAAACCTTCTTTATTTATGACATTCGAAACTAATAAATATAAAATATTTTCAGTTGGAAAAAAATAGACTTAAATAGTTTTAAAAATCTTACCTATTCCAGTCATCAAAGCCCCAGTCACCTCCATGAGAATATGCAACAAACTTTGTGGTGGCTTTAGCGAGCTAAAACAAAATTAAGATACAGTTTTACACAAAACATATGATTATAAGTGAGAACTTAACAAATTCACGACACTTAAAGGGACTGTGAGCGTAATTGCAAGTAATCCTCCATTTAAAGATGACAATGTCCGATTCACACGGTACCCTTAAAAGCATTGTCTAATCAAGAATGAATTAGAAATCAACGTTTATTTTTTTTAATTGTGGTTTCTCTACAGAAGTAAACTGCAATTTCTATTTAGGAAAACATTTAGGAACACTTTTGTCTTTTAAACCTAAATAAACGAAGGTATCTTCCACATGATTGATAAGATAAAGGTTTCAAGGTTTCTGTTATTAATCCTCTTCCAGGAAGAAATTACGCTTACTGTCCCATCAAGAACCAACAAAAGCGGAATTTTTAGAATTAGAACTTAGCAGAATATGGAATCATGATCGAATATAGATGAGGAAAAATTGTGTATTTTGTTTATAACGGCAGCTGCTTTCTTCCAAGAAATTCCTTTATTTTTACCAACCTTGCTCCCACTGCAATTCAAGGTAAATTAATAGAACTGATTACTCTCCTCAAACTCAAACTTTCTAATCAATATATCTTTGCGACCTGATGGAATAAATAAGTACTATTTAAGAAGAATTCAAACTTTAACCCTATTCTAACTGTCGTCTGGTTTACCCAAAATAGACAGAGAGAGGGATCACAATGACCCCCCTCAGTCGGAATGGAGTTAAATATGAAATGTCTGCAGTATAACATCAGGTTACCTCAATATAAGTTAGAAAATAAGGGTTTGAGGAGAGTAGTCAGCTGGTGCAGTCTCTAATCAATAAACTTTTAATAAATTTATAGTTTCTCTCTTCCAGGGGTGGGAGGCACTTACCACTAAACACCACTATTCCTTTAGTCAGAGTACTACAGTACATTGCAGTACGTAGCGAGAACATAGCTTTTAATAAATATTGTGTTACACGATATCTATAAACCTAAACTACATTTTGACATTGATAGCTGAGATCGTGCCCATTGGCTTGGCATTGACCGCTTAAAAGCATGTGTCCCTGTTGACATTGAGATCTGACGAGTTGTACCTGGATTCATACAGGTCTGGAAGCAGTTCTACGAGTACGGCATTTATTACAAACTTAGTACTGAACATATATGGTGTGTGTGTGTGGGGGGGGGGGGGTGATCCTTGCTATAGAAAACCTAGATCCAAAAATTTTTTTTGACTTCAAATAAATTTTTATTTGCACCATATTTTAAAGACTGATATAGATTTGTTTAAATATAAAATGAAATATTCTAATATTGCTAAATTATTATTAGCGAATGATTCATATTCGCATGATTATTAGAAAATAACTTACAAATGTGCTGCCATTCATGCATAATCAAATAATAGACAATATGTTAAATAATTATTATTCTGAATTTAATCTGAATTCAAGACAATTTAATCTTTTTTATGCTCGTCTCCATGGTTAAGAAATACACGAGACACTTTTACCAAACACTGGCCATATTTTATCATTTCTGAATATCCAATTATTGTTTTTAGATAAAATTGTCAACGGGGATCTCTGAAATTAGAAATTTAGTCTTTGCTCCAATCTCTAATTTTCTAATCCTTATATCTTTGCAACCAAATATCGCAGACCTGAGATATTTCAAAGTGTGAATTCTGTTACATCAAACAATTAGATTGCTAAGATATAGGGATTAGAAGATCAGAGTTTGGGGCAAAGACTCAATTCCTTTTTTTGATATTTTTTACCTGGACTTGCCCCCACTCCTGCCCCCTCCTCCTTTGCCCCCACCCCCCTTCCCATCTACAGTAGGGGAGAGAAGCATATATATTAATATCAAATATAGAATAGGTTTCATTTTGTTTAAATATCTAAACAACAAAAATGAATTATCACTTCAACGTTCAAACCATTCTTAAACTCGTTCTATCTTATTAATCGTTAATTAAAACATTTAACTAAAGCAAATTCAATGAAAATATTTGTCCATCATGATCGTTTAAACTTTTTTTGGAAATCTCCTTCAGTTTTCCAACTTCATAATTAAACTCGAATTTAAAACTGTTTTAGTGCATTGGGTGAGATACACAAAGAGAATAGAATATATATTAGAGGGGAATTTAGACAATCCCTCGGTATGAATTTTGTCAGTCCCTGAAAGGGAGTTCAAAGTGTACAAATCATGTAAATGTTCACAAATTATATGCAGTAGAGTACATAAATACAGTACGTTCTCTAGACTTTCCATTTCAATATTTCAATGATTTATAGTTATAATGGAAAAACATCGTTTGTAAAGTGAAAGGCATAGAGTCTATGTGAAATGATCATTGGTCAATTATGAAACCAGCCTATTTCATAATTTGGTTTTCCTTAAATATTAATTTTAGATTTTCTATAAAATGATGTTCCAGGGCCCAAAAGGTTATGTAGCACAAATATGTGAAGTACACCTGCAGTATGGAAACAGTACAACAAAATGGCCGTTTTACACTTTTTTCTAGTAAATTCCACTCTAATATATATTCTATTTGAAATGATCATTGGTCAATTATGAAACCAGCCTATTTCATAATTTGGTTTTCTTTAAATTTTAATTTTACATTTTCTATAAAATGATGCTCCAGGGCCCAAAAGGTTATATAGCACAAATATGTGAAGTACACCTGCAGTATGGAAACAGTACAAAAAATGGCCGTTTTACACTTTCTAGTAAATTCCACTCTAATATATATTCTATTCTCTTTGGAGATACATGACCTGCAGTCCCCGTACTTAAACTCGACTAAAAATAAAAATAACCCCCCCCCCCACCTATTTAGCCCAACCGGGATAGGGTTAAGTGATTTAGAATATGAAGAAAAATCCCAAGTTATGAATGAATGTTAATAACTATTATTAAAAAGTAACATTATTCTTGTATTTTTCCTAACTGTCTTATTTTGAGATAAAGAAATGCGTAAAAAGTTTACTCAAGGAAATACAAAACTTAACTGTTGACTTATCAATGATAATGTAAAGGGCGCGTTAGTTAAACAGAACATATTTTATTATCAAGTTTAAAGAGACTGACGACCAAATTTTAAACTAGGGCAGTCAAGGTTATTCTCACTGGTTACCCGCACTTGGTCGTAAATTACGAGTTTAGCTTTTTTCCCTATATAAGTTGACCCACTCAACATAGAATTTCAAATTTTAAGAACATTCCCGTGGGTTTCAAAAATTGGTGTACTTATAGATGTATTTCCGAAACTGAGGAGCAATAAAGAAAGCTTTGAGAATATTGTACACCCTTGGGCCATTAACAGAGGTCAATAGGGTCTTATTTCTAAAAAATAAACGGGTTAAAGTTAACTTTTTTATTTCTGATTACCAATTGAGGAGCGAGCATGCTGCAAAACACGTTTGGGTGGCGTTTGTTTACTTCTGCACTCCCCCCCCCCTCGTGGCGTTGCCAAATGGGAGTTTATTAGTCATTTATGGATGAAATTAGGCATTAAAAATTAAGACATTTTTCCGGAAGCTATTTGGGTGTGGCCAAGGAAGCGCAATGGGAAAGTGCTTTGCCTCAAATCTATGATTGTGAGAAAATTGTGGATAGGAAGCGTTACGGGTGTGGCTTGCCTTCCCCCCCTTCAATGGGCCCTAAAGCTGGGTTTAAGGAATTACGACCAGAGCCGCAAGCTTTTAAATCAAGGGCTCAGATAGATAGATAGATAGATAAATCGGACATGAAACTCTTTTGATATGCAATGCATGTTCGGAATCTAGCAAATGGGTGAAAAACTAAAACATTCCTATTTTATAGATAATGATATCAAAAGCTAGATATTGTAATATTCATTGCTGAAAAAATCAACAACATTTAAACTTAAAAAAAAAAAAACTTTAATAATTTTGGTTTTTTTCCTACAGATTAAAATTTTGAATATTTGTCGCAAACTGTATAGTTTGATCTGTTGAAACTGAACCATTTAGTAATTTTAGAAACAGTCTTGCCTAATTTACAGAAACTGCAAACCATGTAATAATTTTAGAAACACTTTAGCAAAAGATTTTTATTTTATATAAAATTTATTATGAAGTTTAAGATTATACACAACGTAAATATGTAAATGTAAAAATGTGTAAATTTGTAAAAGTAAAAAAGGCCCATTAAATATGATATTATTGTAAAAAGCAAAAATTATCTAATTCATCGATAAATATTGAAGTAAATAATAAAAAATTAAGTTTTAGATTTTTAAATTCCAATTTTGCATATTTCATATTTAGATTTTTATATAATCATATTACAAATTTGAAAAAAGTAGCACAAAACAGTTTAAATCTAAAAATACAGATTTCTTAGAAAATTTGACATTTTCTAACTCTAGCTTTAGGTTTGCTGAGGGCCAATGCTCCTGCAGCCTCGAACAAATTTCTAAATAAATTAAATGTCTATAATTTGATGATTATTTTGATAAATCATTAATTATACAGGGTGACCCACTAAATAGATATGTAATGCTTAATTGTGTTAATGATCATGCTTTCTGGGACACTCTGTATCTTCCAAATTTTGTTCTTGTGATATTTTGGGGCCTGGTACTAATATCCCAGGTACTAATATCCCAGGTACTAATATCCCAGGTACTAATATCCCAGGTACTAATATCCCATGTACTAATATCCCAGGTACTAATATCCCAGGTACTAATATCCCAAGTACTAATATCCCAGGTACTAATATCCCAGATACTAATATCCCAGGTACTAATATCCAGGTACTAATATCCCAGGTACTAATATCCCAGGTACTAATATCCCAGGTACTAATATCCCAGGTACTAATATCCCAGGAACTAATATCCCAGGTACTAATATCCCAGGAACTAATGTCCCAGGTACTAATATCCCAGGAACTAATGTCCCAGGTACTAATATCCCAGGTACTAATATCCCAGGTACTAATATCCCAGGTACTAATATCCCAGGTACTAATATCCTAATTTGGCAAGTAATAAGAATATAAAGAAACAGCGTACAGTCGTCTCTGAAGTCTTATCCTATGTGGGTAACCCTTTATAATAAATAGGGGAAGTTTGAAATGTTTACGATTATCAAGTTGGAAGAGAAGATGGTTACTTTATATTGATGCCAGAGAGAGCAGAAACTATGAAGGCGGAGTCAGCTTTTATCTCCTTTCGAACTTTTTCCAGTTGTTCAGCAGTTATAATCTCCAATCCTTGATCCTGAACAATTTCAAAAAGTTCTCATAAGACCAATTTGGCTTATCAAACATCCAGGAGGGTAGGGAGAAATATTCAAGGCCAAAATGGTCGAGTCACTTTTGCTAATATAGAAACTCAGATAAAAGTTTATAAGGGACTGTGTGTTAATTTGATTAAATGAGGGTTTATTTGACATTACTTGGAGAGAGTCTCTTTACAGGGACTGTAAGCATAAAATTTCAATTGAATCTCCACGAAAAGATGGTTCCTTTGAAACCTTTATCTGAGTTTCTATATTAGCAAAAGTGACTCGACCATTTTGGCCTTGAATATTTCTCCCTACCCTCCTGGATGTTTGATAAGCCAAATTGGTCTTATGAGAATCTAGGTTTAAAAGTGTTCTTCTATAAATAATTCCTAAAAGTTTTTCTTACAGTGAAAATGCACAAGTCTCTTTTATAGAGAAACTTGAAAATGATTTGCATAAAGAGTCACTTGAAATTACGCTTACAGTCCCTTTAATACCTTTAATTTTGCTCTCACTCGAGGGTCGTCTGCAAGATCCAATTTATTTGCTACAAGAATTTTTGGAACACCCCTTTTCAACTCATCAATTGGTATTTTTCAACTCATCAATTGGTGTTTTTTCAACTCATCATTTGGTATTTTTCAACTCATCATTTGGTATTTTTCAACTCATCATTTGGTATTTTTCAACTAATCATTTGGTATTTTTCAACTTATCATTTGGTATTTTTCAACTCATCATTTGGTATTTTTCAACTAATCATTTGATATTTTTCAACTCATCATTTGGTATTTTTCAACTCATCATTTGACTGAATTCCTTTTTTGAATTTATTTGATGAAGTTGCCTGCAGTAGTGACTAACTTCAGTATTCCACTTAGCCTGTTAAAACCATTTTTTTACCAAATACTGGAATTGTTCAATGCCTGAAAGCCTTTTTTAAATAACATAGAATATTTAACCATTTTAAAAATTCTGATTTTTTAATCTATACAACAAAGCTCCTCGCTCATTCATGCATATGTATATTTGGATATAGGGTTTGCAGCAAAAAGGAAAAATCGTTTCGCGAAAAAATGCACAATTTTTGCGAAAATTCCTCAAAAAGCGAAAATACAGCTTAAGCAATATTATTCTTGAAAATATTTCTCCAAATTTCGCTCAGTTTTAGCTTCATTTATTTCCACGAACAAATGCGAAATATGAACGAAAATATGCGAAAGATTTCGGTCGCATTTCGCAAACTTTTTCGTGAAATTTAGCCTTTTTTCGTGAAAATAAATAAAGCGAAATTTCGCAAAAAAAATCGCAAAAATGCGAAATGCGAAAGTTTAGCGAAAAGGCAAACTATTTTTGCGAAAATGCGAATTTTTTTTTTTGAAAACCATGAGTTTTATAGTTGGAACCATTAATTGCTCAAAAGAGCTTGTGGAATTCTCTGCTTTGAACGCAGACAATTTGATTTCTCAAGCTATCTTTTTAAGTTTCCGAATTATTTTGGTTCTTCCCGTAGATTTTATCTTGTTTTTTAAGAAGAAAGATCTTAACGGTCGTGAAAGTATTTTCAAGCAAATGTATGAATTGTTTAATGCCTCCTAGTCGTTCTTAAATCTATATTTATATTTTGTGTTAATCCATCAATTGGGCTCGCGGATAAATTCCTCTTTGAAAATGAGTCTTGTATTCTCAATATTTAGTCTTTTTTACTGAATTTTCGCAACTTTTTCGGTTAAATTATGCATTTTCTTTATAAAATTCTGTAAATTCTCGCATTATTTTTTTCGCGAAATTTTCGCATAATATTTTCGCGAAATTTCGCATTTTTCGCGAAACAGATTGAAGCGAAATTTCGCGAAAAAAGCGAAAATTTTCGCATTTTTCGTGAGCGAACGAAATACAAAAATGAAGCGAAATGGTCGCGAAATTTTTTTTTCCCTTTTCGCTGGAAACCTACTGCAAACCCTATTATCGTCACTTGAAATTACGCTTGCAGTCCCATTCAGTCCATCTAAATCAAACGGGCCATTAAAGTTTATATAGTTGCTTAATTAATTTGATAAATATTTGAATTAAAATAGTTCCTTTATATTGAAAAGAGAATCTGGGTTATCCACTGAACATACTGGAAAATCATAATCAATTATATATAATTAAAAAAGTAGTTTTTATGATATTTTTAACTTTTTAGTTTTCCCCTTATGCTTTCTGCAGGTTAATTTTTGAGGTTTTTACTTTTAACCGGTTCCACACAGATCTGAGAAATTTTTAAAATTTCCAAATTGTTTTTTAAAAAACATTTTTTTTCTCAAATTGTGCCAAAGTTTGACCCTGAGAGAAAATATGCAAAAATTCAACCAAAACAAACGTGGATTACAAGTTTTTGAAAATCGATTAACAAGAAAAAATGCTCTGCTTTACTCGTCCTTTACAAAATAGAATATTTCAACAAATTAGAACATTTAAAAGTTGAAATATGTCAAGAAAAATGTTAATCCATGAACTTTTAAATGTACAAAAATAAAAAAAGTATTAGGAAAGATGTCCTAACAATTACGTGCATTTAAAAGTTGTAAGCTCTGGTTTAACTGATCATTTGCCTAGCAGAAGAATGTCAGTGTTTGGATAAGTGATGGGACGGATTCTGTCCAATTCCTCCTATTTTACAACATTTTAACATTAAATATTAAAAATTGCACATTTTTTTCTAGTTTTGTTTAAATCGAACGCTTGATCTCGATATTTAATGTGGGCCCTTTTAATCTTAAGGATCAATCCTTAATCCCATAATTTAAGTTTATCTGTTGATCTGGATAAGCTGGAGATCAGTGTTTGCTCCCGAGATTAACAATACAAAAGTTTTTGCTTCAGAGCAAGGAACTTTAGATATGGATAACTTTAATCCCGATCTATTAATCTAAATAAATTACGAGTTCTCTCATTAATTGGCGCGTAAAATTTCAAATTTTCCCAGCTTGTGATTGGCTCTTCCGGATTTGGCATATGCCACTCTATTAGTTAAATTTACACACTTTTCATGGTGCAAAGGGAAGATTAAACTAGATCTTTAGAACAATAAAAAGATTATCTTAATATCCACAATTCTAAAGTTTTCAGCTCTGATTATATCCATAGAGTTAAAAAATCCACCTGTCCAGCCGTATCCCAGAGCGTTAGCTCAAGATCTATCTAAATTTTAAAAATATGTTTAATTTATTTGATTTCTTCCAGCTAAACATCCTTTTGGTCTTGCATATATTTGACAGAAAATTGGTTTGAATTTAATTGGATAACTTTGATCTTCTTTGTTTGTCAATGAAAACTATATATGGAGCCACGAGGTCACAAAGTCTTACTTTTGACCTTTTCCTTCTGTTTGCAGAGCCTGTACTGCGGCAATGATTTTAGAGTTGACAGCAAAGAGAATAGAATATATATTAGAGGGGAATTTACTAGAAAAAAGTGTAAAACGGCCATTTTGTTGTACTGTTTCCATACTGCAGGTGTACTTCACATATTTATGCTATATAATCTGTTGGGCCCTGAAATATCATTTTACAGAAAATCTCAAATTAATATTAAAAGAAAACCAAATTATGAAATAGGCTGGTTTCATAATTGACCAATGATCATTTCATATAGACTCTATGCCTTTCACTTTACAAACGATGATTTTCCGTTATAACTATAAATCAAATGACGTTTTTTATTCCCCTAATTCATTATAAAGTTTATTTAATAGCTTTAAAAAATTCGAAATTGAAATGGATAGTCTAAGGAACATACTGTATTAATGTACTCTACTGCATATGATTTGTGAACATTTACATTATTTGTACACTTTGAACTCCCTTTCAGGCTGAAAGGGACTGAAAAAATTCATACCGAGAGATTATCTAAATTCCACTCTAATATATATTCTATTCTTTTTGGTTGGCAGGCCAATCATCAGAGACTAATACATTTAAAACCAACTTATTAAGTCAAATGGTTCTGTGTACACTGCACAATTGATTTGTTTTCTCTCCGTTAGACTGTTTAAAATACAAATTTGAGTCAAAAGTCGTCTTTCTAGTTTTCAAAAATTCTGAAATTCAAATATATGAATTTGTATGCAGAAAGTTTTTTTTTCTAATATTCTTGATTCAATATGATAAAGTGCTGTTCTCATAGATTTTATAACAAACTTTCATCTTTCGCATGTAACATGTTTTTTAGCAAATATGGTTAAATAATATTTTGAATCCTTTAATGTCTAAATAAAGCTTAAAGGGACTGTTAAACGTAATTTTATATGAGTATGACCCTTAGTGCAAATATTACAAGACCCAATTCACATCAGTATTATTTCTGATAAATCATACTTGTTTTCCTGCAGCAGAAATGCGCAAGTCGCTTTTGCTGAGAAACCACAATAGAAAATAAGCAGCTTTCAAAATCTTAACGATTGATCTCTATTTGATACTTGATAAGACAAAGCTTTTCATAGAAGGTTGCTTAAAATTACGCTTACAGTCCCTTTAATCCGAGAAATATTTATACCAAACGTGTTTTGAAAAAAATAATTATCTCTTAATTTCTTACCATTACATTTGACTTCTTTGACTCGTCTAGAGAGTTAGGTCTATTATTTCTAAAATTCAACAATTTTTACTAATTTTTTTATTTGTGCCAAGAGTATAAAAGTTGTGTGTTTACCTGCTGGCGATAAAAGATGGCGGTTTCTTAATCCTTAAATGAATTACTGAGTTTTCAACAACGGTTGGTATATGCTCTGTTGGAATATTTCCCTAAACAACGGTTGGTATATGCTCTGTTGGAATACTTCCCTAAACAACGGTGGTATATGCTCTGTTGGAATACTTCCCTAAACAACGGTTGGTATATGCTCTGTTGGAATACTTCCCTAAACAACGGTTGGTATATGCTCTGTTGGAATACTTCCCTAAACAACGGTTGGTATATGCTCTGTTGGAATACTTCCCTAAACAACGGTTGGTATATGCTATGTTGGAATACTTCCCTAAACAACGGTTTGTTTATGCTCTGTTGGAATACTTCCCTAAACAATGGTTGGTATATGCTATGTTGGAATACTTCCCTAAACAACGGTTGGTATATGTTCTGTTGGAATACTTCCCTAAAAACAAGGTTATAATGCATTATAACCTTACCTAAAAAGAGGAAAAGTGAGAATACAGGGTTTCCCTTAAAAATGACAGTTTGAAAAGTCCAAGAACAAACTTCTTTATTTTAAAATATTAAAATACCAAACACTAAACATACAAAATTAGATTAAAAAGTCTATGATGAAAACCTTACAAAACCTGTACTTTAAAATAAGGAACAGTTTGAATACTACTCTAAAATAAGGAACAGTTAGAATACTCCTCTAAAATAAGGAACAGTAGTTAGAATGCTCCTCTAAAATAAGGAACAGTTGGAATTCCACTCTAAAATAAGAAACAGTTAGAATTCTACTCTAAAATAAGGAACAGTTAGAATGCTATTTTAAAATAAGGAACAGTTAAAATACTTCTCTGAGATAAGGAACAGTTAAGATACTATTCTAAAATACTTCTCCAAAATATGGAACAGTTAAAATACTACTCTAAAATAAGGAACAGTTAGAATTCTTTTCTAAAATAAGGACAGTTAGAATACTATTTTATAATAAGGAACAGTTAAAATAGTACTCTAAGATAAGGAACAGTTAAGATACTATTCTAAAATACTTCCCCAAAATAAGGACCAGTTAAAATACTACTCTAAAATAAGGAACAGTTAGAATTCTTTTCTAAAATAAGGAACAGTTAGAATATTATTTTAAAATAAGGAACAGTTAAAATAGTACTCTAAGATAAGGAACAATTAATATATCCTAAAATAAGGAACATTTCTTGTCTTTCTCATACAGACAAAATCATATCTCGACAATTAAAGAAAAAGCTAATTATGTCAATTAGCAGTATGGATAAATTATGGATAAAATATGGATAAAATATGGATAAAATATTGATAAAATTCCAATTGCATGATTTAAAAAAGTTTTCATTAAATTATCATCAAAAAGCTTAACTATATAAAATTATGTGGTTTAGGGATAAATTTATATCTATCAAAATATATGTTTTAAATTTTTCAAAATATTATTTTACTTTTGAAATCTGCCAGAGAATACTTGTTTTCCCTGCTGCACCATCACCAACCACCACAAGCTTTCGGCGTTCAGGTCTCTCTAAACAAAACAAAAAATTTAAAATAATAATTTTGAGAATTTGACCTGTGCAAAAATCATTATGATTTAATAATTTCAATGATTATTTTAAAATCTGTTTTTTAAAATCAAAAATTTTTACTGTTCAAGCTAAAAAAAGTAAAACAAACACAAAAAAATAAAAAAAAATATCGAAAATTTAATTTTTGTTCAGAAATCAAAATGCTGTTGTTGCCACAAGATTTTTTAATAACTACATACAAAAATGTTTAAAATTTCTTTTAACAAAAAAATTTTTTTTATTGAATATATTTTTTACCAGTTTCCTCTTGATATAAAGGACTCTCACTCTTAGATCTCTTATATGCTAAGGGATTCCTGAAACTAACCAGATTTGATGGATTTAATTAAAAGATACCACAACAAATTTGGACCTGACTAGTTCAGCCGTTTTGTAGTTTAATGGATAAATACAGACAGACAGATATTTATATATATTTAAAAATATGTTTTGAATGCAAAATTTTATTTCTTCGCTAATATATCTGTATATTTGTATATATATGTTAGCTACAGCTGGCAAAACGGATGGACCAAATTGGCTGGTTTGTTTTGAGGGAACCCAAAATCAAACTTTTTAGCATATAATATTATAGGCTAAAAAGTTAAATTATTTTTCATCTCAAAATTAGAATTTTTTTCCTTTAAAAAATTTTCACTTGAAAAACTTATTTTTGCAAAATTACCTCAAATCCATGATTCTGGGACGAACTTTGGCAGTAGTTCTCTTGATTTACCTACATTTAGTTCTTTCTACAAAATCAACAAACTTAGAAAATTAATCCCCCCCTCCCACTGTAGTTTTCAGTGCCAGCAAGTTTGCGGTTTGGATAAATTAAGGAGAACTCCAGGCAAAGCTGGGTTCCGAAGTCAGTATTAAATAAATTCAAACCTATATAGATCCAGACTGCTATGAAAACCTATATAGATCCAGACTGCTATGAAAAGCTGTTACAAATTTCAATGCTGGAGGTAGTTTAATGTGTCATTAATCCTCTGACTTTGAATTTTGATTTTTACCGCACTAAAACTAACTCACTTATAAATATTTGAAGCGCAAAACATCCAAGCACTTATTTTTAACTCAAGTTCTTAAAAAGTCATTTGCAAAATTCTCATCAAATTTACCTTTACAAGTTCAACTATTGGATCACTGTGTGTGCAAAATCTTATAATATAGCAATTAATTTTTAGAAAATTTAATTTTTGAATTTACCAAAATATTTCGGTCATTCCAAAATTAAAGAAATTCTGTAATATTCATTTTGCGTGACCATCTTTTGCTACAGTGATAACCAGAAAACTCTGAAATAGGAAGACGACTTTGTAGCACGTCTTGAGTGTATTCGATGTTGTTAAAAGCAAATGGTTATCACTGTATCTATATATAAATTTGGCTTGTCTGTCTGTTTGTTTGTCTGTTTGTTTGTATCCAATAAACGTCAAAACGGCTGAACTGATCGGGCCCAAATTTTTTGTGGGACATCTAGGGACCCCAGGAAAGGTTTATGAATGATCAAAATTTTAAATATTTGTCTCCATCAAAATTCGATCTTCATTAAATTTTTTAAAATTTTGAAAATCCATGAAATTTTTTGTGAAAATCCGCGATTTATTTTTTTTTGTTTTACGATGTTCATAAAGAGAACATGTTCACAATTAATTTAGAAGATGGGCGCGAAGCGCCCTCTAAGGTTAGTTATAGCAAAAAAATGTTAAAATAACCCCAAACTTTTTGTTTGTAAAATAAAACCATCTGAAAGCGTTTCTGGCCCTAATATTTGAACAAAATGATTACAATTTTTAGCGGAATACTTTGGGCAAAATTCAATATTCTGACCAAATATTTGGACTTCTCTAAGCAGATTTATGTTACATTGTCAATAAATATTTTAAACAAACTTAAACCTTTTAAATTCCTAATTCTTCGCGACCTAATGATGTAAACCTTTCAAACTTAGCCTATTTGATCCAAGCAAAAATATAGCTTTAAATGTCAAAGATGTACCATATCAGGTTGTTTAAATAAATAGGGATAAAAACTTTTTGGTAAAAGACCAATTTTTTTGGAAAAGAAAAGTCCAGTATATGTTGGAAAGAGTCATATTTTAAAAACTCTCTCTAATTATCAACCTTATACTACAGTTTCTACATAGAGGAAGTTATTCTTATCATGTATCCTTGATTTAGTAAGCTTAGGAATTATTTGGTTTGGTATTCACAATTTCAAAAAATCACAATTTGGTGTAAATAGCGTTGTTCTCAAAATAATTCGGTCCAAGAAGTTCAGCCGCTTGAACATTTATTGGACTTGTGTACGTTTCTTGTTCTCTCATTAAACTTATGAGATATCCATAGGGATGCTACGTTTTCATTTTTTTTTAAAAAAGCGATCGTTTCGTTATGAAAACGACGACGAAAAATCAAAAACGAATTAAAAAACGATCGTTTATTTAACAGTTCGTTTTTTAAAAACGATCGTTTTTATTACGATCGTTTTTTATAAACTCGTTGTTTCATTAACGATCCTTAACGACGACCATTCGTTAACGATAGTTAATCACAAACCTTCCTTAACGACGACCCTTCGTTAACGATCACAAGGGATATCCACCTTCCTTGTTCTCTCATCTAACCAAAGATATCCATCCTTTCTTGTTCTCTTATCTAACCAGAGAGATCTATCCTTGTTCTTTCATCTAACCAGAGATATCCAAACTTCCTTGTTCTCTCATCTAACCAGGATATCCATCCTTCCTTGTTCTTTCATCTAACCAAAGATATCCATCCTTCCATGTTCTCTCATCTAACCAGAGAGATCTATCCTTGTTCTTTCATCTAACCAGAGATATCCAAACTTCCTTGCTCTCTCATCTAACCAGGATATCCNTTTGAAGTAATCATAATTTTAGGGGGAATGCGCAAAAGCACGCAAAAAAATGTTGGGCTCCCCTAAAAATTGAACAAAAAATAGTAAATTCCTATTTCTTATTCGTTAAAAAAGTATAAGCTTAAACTAACCTAACCTAACCTAACCTAACCTGACACTTTCAGTCTTTAACTCTGGTTCTCCTACTTTCTATCTGTAAAATCTAGTTCTCCCACTTTATATCTGTAAAATCTAGTTCTCCCACTTTCTATATAGGTATATCTGTAAACTCCAGTTCCCCCACTTTCTATCTGCAGACTCCACTTCTCCTATTATTTATCTGTAAACTCGAGTTCTCCTACTTTCTATCTGTAAATTCCAGTTCTCAGCTTTCTATCTGTAAATTCCAGTTCTCAGCTTTCTTTCTGTAAATTCCAGTTCTCAGCTTTCTTTCTGTAAACTCCAATTCTCTTACTTTCTATCTGTAAACTCCAGTTCTCCCACTTTCTATTTGTTAACTCCAGTTCTCCTACAGCTGGTGTCCCACGAAACATGACAGTTGATAAATAGTTCTGAATGTCGTTTTCCCTTTAAGCTGTATCTGATATTAAAGGCTTTTTGCAGTTTATTTCGTTAGAAAAATCTTTTGTTTGAATTTATTTTACTTTGAAATCAATTATTCTATAACTTGACTCCCAAAAATATTTTTATAATTTTCTTAGGTATAAAACAACTCAACAAATTATGGAAGAAGACATTCCAAACTAATTCAACAAAACTGTCATGTTTCGTGCGACACCCTGTACTTTAAATTTGTTAACTCTATTTCTCCTAAATTATATCTGTAAATTCCAGTTCTCAGATGTCTATCTGTAAACTCCAATTCTCTTACTTTCCATCTGTAAACTCCAGTTCTCTCACTTTCTATCTGTAAACTCCAGTTCTCCTACTTTCTATTTGTCTTCAGTTCTCCTACTTTATATCTGTAAACTCCAGTGCTGACGCTTTCTATTTATTATATTTAGGGGGAGGCCACCCCCCTAACCCCCCTCGAGGAGGTCAAATTGGGGCCCGTGGGCCTAGGCCCCCCTCTAATTCGCTTGTGATAACCATTCTTCTCTCATTAAAACATCGTCTTTCTTTGTAAGTTAATCAAACAGACGACGACATTTGTATTAATTCCTAATAAGGTACTTTGCGTACAATCGTACTTCGTAGTTCGTGTACAATTTGAAATTTATTGATACAAAAGTAAACAAAAAGAATTCCATGAGTGTTGGGACTCAGAGAATTTAGTTAAGTTATGATACAATTATCTTTAGAACTTCATATAATTTGTAAATTTTGTACATGGATCTCTTATCACATACATATAATTGGTCATGTGGCCGCAGCGCCTGGCCCCCTAGCCTGCCTTAGCCGCGGTGCTCGGCCCCCTAGTCTATCATAGCCGCAGCGCTCGGCCCATAAATTAAGTTTATCTAACTTAACCCTAAAATAATAATTTTAAATAATAATTTTGCTGAAAAAAGTGGTCATTTACAAAATTGATAGAAGGGGGGCCCGGGGGATGGGACTTTTATTAATTGTAGAGTGAAATACAGGATTCTACAGTTTTTAGGGACTATAATATACGGACTTCATAAAATAGGGACTTACTTAACTATAGACTTCAGAGAGGTTTACATGACGTAAAAAATGTGGGATAATTAAACCAAAGCTTAGAATTGAATGATAAATGTGAGCGTCAAAATATTATGCTAATCTATGGGCGGTGTGCAGAACACCCTCCCCCCCCCCATTCAGTTGTGTAGTGTAAAGTAGTCTATATATGTGTTCTAGTCGCAGCTCGTGCGTTCACCCCCTTTCCCTGTTATCAATCTACAGATAGTTTTATAAGTCTATTAACAAGCATAGAAATCATAAACAATTAATAAGGAATCAGTCAAAAAAAATCTTTAAATAATAAAATCTTTGCACCCTTAATTTTAACACTTTAAGGTTCTTGATCCTTTATTCCCCCCCCCCTTATTGCAAATGAAACTGTTGTTTATTGCGACCAAAGTTGACCGACTAAAGTGTTTTCTGCGCAGAAAGTTCAAAGATTTTAACGCAGTCAAGTTCAGTATTTTTATAGGTTCTCGCCTTGTTATTTAATTACAGTGATAACCAGAACACAGTGGAATTATCATCGCCTTCGTGGGGTTATAGGATCATTACCAGAAACAGTTTGGTCAGGATCGGTTAAGCCGTTTTGACGTTTATTGGATACAAACAAACAAACTAAATTTGAATATGTTCAGGAAATTTAGGAATTGCGATAGTTGCAGTGTCGTGGGAGGGGGGAGTGCAGAAGTCCTAAATTAGTAATCGATCACCGCCACCCAAACGTGTTTTGCGGCATGTGCGCTCCTCAATTGGTAATCCACCACCTCAATTTGTAATCAGAAATAAAAATGTTTAACATTAATTCTTTTATTTCCTAGAAATTTGACCATATATTGGCCTTTGTTAATGGCCATATGGTGTACAATAATTGAGGACTTCTGCACTTCCCCCCTGGTCGTGGGAATACATACATTATCCGTCCTTTAACGTGTTCGTTTAAGTCATTACTAAAGCTGATTAACCCCACATGTTTTTTATAACTTAATTTAGAATAACAAGAAGATAAGGAATAATTTTTATCAAAATTGTTTTTGTTTTGACTAAAGATAATAATAATAAACAGATTGATAAACATACAAAACTATGCGACGACCTGAACTCTTCAAATTTTCCCGTCCGAAGGCAGCCTTGTATCTAAAAGTTTGATTTTTAAAGACTTTTTAGTGAAAAATTTTTGTCTTTTCGAGGAAAGTAAATTTTCAGTTTTTTCAGATATCATGACAGAGGGGGAGAGTAGGATGCGATTACGTCGCACAAATTCAACCTCAAGGTACATCCGGGCGCCATGGTTTTTATTTGTTAAAGGGAGTGACCGGCAATTTATGGAAGTTGAACTGAGGATGTAGTATTGTGGACAAATTTTTAGGATTCATTTGAGACATAATAAACGTTTTAATGAAGTATAATCACGGAGTTTGAGCGCAAAGTCGACGTACAAATTCATCTTTTGGTTTTTTTTTGAGAATCGATTTTTTTAAATCATCAAATAACAATAACAAAAAAAAATTCGAAGAAAACTAATTAGATGTTTAGGAACATGTTTCTCAATTGAAATCTATCACTAAATCAATGCTAGAATCAATTATCTCTTTTTCATCATTATATTGAATTCCTTTATACTTCTTGAATTTGTTCGCAGATTTCTTCAAATTCTTCAAATGTCGTCTTTTCAATAAACATTCCAGGAAATCTATAGAAAATGTTTGTTTACAATGAGACATTACAGAAACCAATAACTGAATAAGATTATTTATTTTCGATGATAGTAGTTAATTTGTATTTTCTCATCTTGTTCCTAAACAACTAATTAGTTTACTGAAGAATTTTTTTTATATTTTTTGTCGCCGTTATTGAATAATTTTTTAAAAAACGATTCTCAAAATCATCCCTCAAAAATGAAAAATCTATGAGGATTTTAAAGATTGAATTTGCGCTATTGCTGAACAAATATGCATTGAAAAAACGTCTTATGGGTCTCAAATCATTTCGAAAAAGTTTCTTAATACTAAATTCTTAGTTCAACTACCATATATTGCCGGTCACTCCCTTTAATTGGACTATTACGTATATTCAAGTGACCTCCTATTTGTAGATTGGCATGTCCGATTCACATCGGTGCCCTTAAAAGCTTTTCTCGATCAAGAATGCATAATGTTTCCATAACTGGGGTTTCTTACTCAAGTTTAGACTTGCGGATATCTTGCTACAGAAACAATATAGAATATTTTCAGAGTTAAACACTTTTAAAGCCAAAAAACGGTAATATCTTCTACATTGTGATGAGATAAAGGTTTAAAGGGTACCGTTGTGAATTGGTAAATGGAGGTTCACGTGAAAGTACAACAGTCTCTTTAAGGCAATATTAATTTTACTAAAATCCGATAAACAATTAAATATCAAATACAATTTTTTGCATAAAATAGTTGATATTGGGTTTCCAAAGTGTTTAATGGCATTTGAAATGAATGTTATTTAATTTATTTTGTTTTAAATGTTAAGAATAAATTTATTATAAATCTTTTTTTTCCAATGGAATAGAATGGGGTTTTAGACATTTTTCACAAGAAAATCCATTTATTTTTTTAAAAGATCCATTAATTTTCTTCAAAAAATCCATTAATTTTCTTTACAAAATCAATTAATTTTCTTTAAAAAATCCATTCCTTTAAAAATCCTTTATTTTGCCCAATTAAGCAATAAATCTTATTG